TTCCTGTTTGACTGTGAATGTTTCTTCAATCTTCACATCTTCACTCTCCTCTTTAATAAACGCCATCTTTATAACAGTGTGGAGATCAGTCGCTTCAGCAGGAGTTTTTCTCTGTGTTTGGACACTTTATCCTCTTTAAAATGAACAAAACAATAAAAATGTCCCGTTTAAAATAAATAAAACAATGAGCAAAAACAAAATAACTTCTCTTCAACACTTGCTTCAACAGTTTCTTTATATAAGAGTGATTAACAAAAAGACATTAGTTAAGTCTGAGCAAAAAACAATAGCCACAAAAGAGACGATTAGGACCAGAACTCCATTCCTTATATATAGTGATGTACATTTGGAATAGAATGTCATTATGCTATTTAATGAATTAAACCTTCATTGAAACACTTATTACACACTTTACTGTTGCTTTATTCAAACTTTAACAAATGTTGTTATTTGTTTGTTTGTTTTATTTATTTTATTGTCTGCTTACAGCAACGTTGTAGCACTCTTTTGCACAAGACAAGAATTTACTCTTGTGGACAAATAAAGTTTATCCTATCTTTTTTAAACAATAGATCTTATTCTGAGTAAAATAATACTTCGTTGTATAAAGGGTTAAAATAATATTGTCAACAGCAGGTACATCTAGCATTAAATAACCAATCTAAAATTGTAATCAGTCGGTTTAAATCTGTGTAAAAGCTTTAAAACAAACCTTTCTCCAGTTGAATCACAGTGTGGGAGTGGCGCAGCCTTATGACGTCACACCACCATGCCAAAATAAAAGTCTTTTTAAAAGCTTTTTTCTCTCACTTACTCTTAGTCATGACTTATTGATAAATTTCTCCCTTGTTTTCCACTTTTTACTTTATCTGCTTTCTGTTTTGTATTTGTAAGACCATCACTATTTATGATAATTGAATAAATCCATTTACCCCCACTAGAAATTGGCTTTCAGGTAGGTTGGTAAGTGGTTGCATTTTCTTTAAACGATTGCATTTCTTCATCCATAGCTTTAATCCACATTCACTTGCATTCACTGATGTTGCCACCTTATTGTAAGTTTGAATGGGAAAACATCAAATTCTCCAAAATTGCCAGCCAGGTTCCAACCTATATAATATGTTGTAGCTTATTTGGGCTACAGTCCATTTGTCAGGATAAAAACAATATTTATAACCAAATAAACAAAAAACAAAAAAGTTCCCATAAACAAAAAAAGAAGCTTTTAAAAATGACTGAAGAACTTAAGACAGCGTTGAACAATGCATCCACGCATGTTTAGATTTTACATTTTATAATGTTAGCATTCAGATATTATTTGAGTGTAAATTCAGAATGTGCAACTTACCTTTTCAGTCTTCAATGAAGAAGTGGGATGAAAAAATGGTTGTTGTTGGTAATAATCCCAATGTAGGAATCTACAATAGTAGTTTGTCCTCCAAAGTTGTTCTCTTTACTTGGCGAAATAAGCCAATGAAGATTCTCATAGGAACTCAGAATATAAAGATATCACCCTGCTGAGCTACAGGATCTGGAATGTGATTGGATAAGACTCAATTGGCCCCCTTTAATTCTGGTATAAAGACGCAAATGAGCAGTGAAGACTCAAGACACATACAGTGGGGGATGGGAAGTCCAGCAGCTTTACAAATCATAGTTTTACATAGAAATAATGATGTATTGGGAAAATGAGTTGACTTTAGCCATCACCATTTGTTTTGTTGCTGTTGTTTTGTAATTCTATTGATTGAAGCGTTTTTATTTTGGCTGCTGCATTTTGTAGTTAATGTTGATACATTTATGTTGAGGTACTTTGATTTGAAACACATTTCAATTTATTTTTCCCAAGCCTGGTTAAAAGGTAATGCAAGAGTTGTGTGTTGTTGTTTTTTAGAAGCTTCTCAGAGTTTTGTGTGAGTTTAGAGTCCTTTATTTCTCTTAAAGCACATGCAGCTTATTACTGGCTTCTGTGAGACAGTCAACACACTCTTACCAGGTCAATTATTTCTTTCCAAAAGTCTCTATAGATTTTAACAATCAAAATGTAGCTTGTTTCTGTGCCAATTTTGTTTTCTTTCCTTCGTCTTTTAGTTGAACAGAACATGTGTGAGCAGCTCAGCTTTCTAGAAAGCCTCTTATTCACCTGATAGGTAACAAAGATGTTTTTCCCTCAATTTATCATTTGTGTTTGTGCATACAAATATGCATAGACATTCACAAAAGCATATATAAGATACCCTGTGACAAAAGCTTTTGCTTTTAACACAGTAAAGCTATCACATACTGTCCATTTTTTAAAAATATGTCATGCATCTAAATATTTATAATCACAAAACAATTATATCACAAGTTAATTTTTTGTTCGGGCAGTTTATACAGGGTAATGCAATGACAAGAGTTCATTTTCATAACTACACAATGCAGAACTTTTAATGTGATTAACCTGCTTCACCTACATCAACTACAGCATTTCTCAGATTTCTGTTTCACTATGGTGTAATTACAGTGGTGAACATCACATAAAACAACAACTGCACTTACTCCTGTAACTTGTTTGCAACAATGACATTTTAATATCTGTCACATATTCATTTAAATAAATGGCTCATCATTGTGTGCGGTCATCTTTATTAATAGCTGCCTGATCTTTAATTGAATAGTGTCGTTTTACATATAAGAAACCTGTTAACAGGTATAGCTGTTAATTCCAATACCAACTTGATAGCCTAAAGCATATTACATGAACAAGACCTGCCTTTCATCTCTTAGGACAGAGGTTCTCAAACTGTGATACGCGTACCACTAGTGGTACGCAGGCTTCCTTCTAGTGGTACGCAGAGGAATGAAATATGTCATGTACATGCTACACACATTTCAAAATATATCAAAAATGATGTATATAACATGCCATATATGACATATAGCCTATATTTCCGAGGTAATCTGCCACGTTTTTTTAACTGTGCAGAGTTGTAGCTGCTTTACTAGGCCTACTTGGCTACTATATTTCAATACTGCTCATTTTGGTGGTACTTGGAGAGACCATTTTTTTCTGAGGTGGTACTTGATGAAAAACGTTTGAGAACCTCTGTCTTCGGACAAATAATCATAGGTGTCTATAACAATACATGCTTGATTGCCCAGATCATTACAATCAGTACATCTGAATGGTGCCTTTTAGTAAGCATAGTTCTTCACCAATACCAGTTTAATACTTTATATAATTACACATGTGAGGCATCACAGTGGTGCAGTGGGTAGCATGATCGCTTGACAGCAAGAAGGTCGCAGGTTCGAGCCTCAGCTGTGTCAGTTGGCATTTCTGTGTGGAGTTTGCATGTTCTCCCCGTGTTTGTGTGAGATTTCCTCCAGGTGCTCTGGTTTCCCCAAAGTCCATAGATGTGGTATGCATGCAGTGTGTGTGAATGAGTGTGCATGTTTCCCAGTAATGGGTTGCAGCTGGAAGGGCATCTGCTGTGTAAAGCATTTGCTGGATAAGTTGGTGTTTCATTCCACTATGGTGACCCCAGATTAATAAAGAGACTGAGCTGTAACGAAAATGAATAAATATATATATGAGTAATATATCACACGAGGAGTAGTGCGATGTGGCCTTCTATCTGTTTTTGTATTTCTGTTTGTTGTAATGGCCTGTTGTTATTGCAATAAAAAAAAATAAATGAATATTTTTTTTAAAGTTCGATGTGGCTGTAGATGAGCACTGGTGGAAGGCATGTGTTATAGTGTACACTAGGCAATCGAGAACGATTGTCCCTCTACCTGTTGTTTCAATCCCCTGACAACTTTGCTCATCTTCAGAGCTCCTTCATCTGTCGAAGACAGCAAGAGTCCCGAGATGCTCACTGTCCAGAAAAGGAACCAAAAACTATGTCAAAACATGTGACTTCAGTGGTTCAATTGTAATCGAGTTCCAATAACATTTTGTGTGCTAGAAAATGTGGAAAAAAGCAGCCATTTCCAAAGTAGGAACTGTTGAAGCATAGTTGCTGTTTTTGCCTCTGTATTCTCTTCATTTGCATTCAGCAGAAGAAACTTAAACAGGTTTGGCTCAAGGATGAGTAAATGACAGAATTGTGATTTTTATGTTAACTGCTCCTTTATTGCTTCTGTAAGTAAAGGTAAATTAAATATTATTACTGAAGATATAGCTAAACAATGGCAGGAAACATTGAACACAGATAATAAGAGACAACAATTCATGTGGAAAAAAGGAAACTCTATATAGGCCTATGAAGATGTAGAAATAGAAAAGAAGAGGTCATAATTATGAGGATGAGATTTGGACTCAGATATTAATAGGAAAGTAATGTGTTGTAAACATATACAAATCATCATAAAGTGGATTAAAAAAGTAAAAAAAAAAATTTAGATTTAAGGTTTATGTGTGAGAGAGCAAATATAATGTAAAGTGAAAATCATGGGAGAACTGTACTAATAAGTCATGACTGCAACTGTAAGTGGTAAAAAAGCTAAACAAAAAAGACTTTTATTTTGGCGTGGCGCATGACGTCATCAGGCGGCGCTGCTTCAGCGCTGTGATTCAACTGGACAAAGGTTTGTTTGAAAACCTTTACACAGATATAAACCGATTTAAAGTTAAAGTTCTAAAGTTTTAGGGTTTTATACAATGCTATATTATGTTCCTGCTGTTGGAAAAATTATTTTAACCCTTTATACAACTATTATACTATTTTAGTAGTACTATTTTATTCTTAGTAACTGAAGGCTACTGTTTGAATAAAGTAACAGAAAAGTGTATAATAAGTGTTTTAATGAAACGTTTCACCTGATTTCTTTTTGTTAATTTCTCTTATATAAAAGAAACCATTGAAGCAAGTGTTGAAGAGAAGTTATTTTGTTTCTGTTTATTGTTTTGTTCATTTTAAACAGGATAAAGTGTCCAAACACAGAGAAAAACTCCTGCTGAAGCGACTGATCTCCACACTGTTATAAAGATGGCGTTTATTAAAGTGGAGAGTGAAGATGTGAAGATTGAAGAAACATTCACAGTCAAACAGGAAGATCAGCAGAAACAACCAGGTTAGATTTCATTCTCAAAGAACAACTCAGTCATTTGATTGTCATTCAGATATATTTTAATAATAAGAATACTAAATTAAATCCATCTTGCAGCCCTGAGTGTGCTGCCTAGTTTTCCTAAATGCACATAAGCACTCATTGAAAGACAGGAATGAGTTTTTTTCTTACTTGTTCTCATGTCTTTTCTCATTCTTTCATGTATCATTAGTCTCCCATTTTCTCTACCTTCTTGAGGTTATGGCTTTTCTTGTTCTGCTGTTTCTGTAAAGCATCCTCGAGCACTGATGCTACATAAAAAAAAATAAATAAAAAAAAAACAATATTAAAAAAGTTTAACTGAGCTGACGATATTTGACCTACAGTATTCTCATAGAAGATATCTGCTATTACAGTGATAGTGTTGGCTTAGTACTTTCTATTTGCATATGTCATATCAGGGCTCGAAATTAACCTTTTTTCTTGGTAGCACCGATGCTCCTAACTTTAAAAAGTTAGGCGCATCAGCCAAAATTTAGTCGCACCCACCAATTAAGAGCACCGTTACTAAAAGTTTTATACAAACAGATTTATTGCATTTGAAATCAACAGTTATCAAACTAACAAGCAAAAAATATATATATATGCAAGTGTGAGGAAAATATGTCTCAACGAAATCCCGTTATCACAAGAAAATACATTTTATAACATGACTGAGTGACTAAAGCATACACGGAGCGCTCACCGGCCCTGCACGCACTGCTTGAATGAATCTGTTAACGGTATAACTGTGCTGTTCTCACAAGTGCTGTCTGATATTGCACTGATGCTTTTGACATATACTGTACCTTATTATATGCATACATCATGTAAATAGCAATACTGTCTTTTGTTAGCGATATTAGTTTACTCAGTGTAAGCCCGTTTGCGATGCCGATGGTGTACGTAGTGTTAAATTTTACATATAGCTGTCCCTTGCACAGCGGACAGCATCTGGCGATTACATGAAGGATTAAACAGAAGCTCTCGTGCTAGATGTGGCAAACTGTTACCTGAAAACTTCATCCCACAGACTTTTAATAGCGGACTTGAAGCCAACGGAGTCTTTTATCCACTCTTGGAAAAGTTTAGATGGTGGATTAACATTCAGCACATGATCACAACTAAGATGTGTCATTATTTATAACTTTAGATGTCATGGTTTCTAAAACAAAATCTGCCAGTGTCATTTTCATTCTCATCTTTAGCGCTTTAGTTTTTTCGCGGTAGTAGCTCTCTCTGTCATCCCAAGCAAGAAGGCGCTGGCTGAGTGATTGACAGCTGACATTAACCAATCATTCGCGTTCAGTGCTAGAGCAGTGGTGGGCCAATAAGAAGAGCGCGAAGGCGGGGCAAGCATTACGGACTTGTTACTGCAGCAAGATGACATGACAACTGTTTTAAACCATTCCTGAGCGCTGCGTTTCCTGTTTCAAGTGCAGACAAAGAGCTTAGAGAGATGCATTCTGCGTGAATGTCTCCCGAATCCGCGCATGTGGTGAACATTTTGCAGTAAAAACTGGTGCACACAACAATTTTAAGCACTCGCAGAAATGCTCCCAAATATATTTTGAGGTCGCATAGATAAAATTTCGGGCGCATATGCGACCAAAATGGTCGCAATTTCGAGCCCTGTATATTGATCACAATTCTTCTTTATGGGATTAAACTTGTTTCTAGATCTCACAGATAGTATCTGAGTTAGAATTTCATCATTATTATAATAACTAAATACCAGGGCTATTGAGTTTAAACAGGGTTTCCGCTGGGGTCTTAAATTCTAAAATCTAAAATTTAGGCCATAAAAAGTCTAAACTTTTTATTCAAAAAGGCCATTTTAACTCTAACATAATGGTTTAATGATTTTTCTTACAATAATGTATTCATGTATTCACTGCTCAGGAAACTGACCTGGACAGATTGTTTTGCATAGATTTAGCTTATTATAGTTTTTAAAACTTTTAAAACATTTGTTCATTTTTTTATTTTAAAGAAAGTTTATTTTGAAAAACAGTGTGTGGATACAAGTAAAGCTTGCTTGTTTTTACACAATATTTAAAATATTTTGCCAAGAAATGTCTAAATATTGTATTATTCATTTATTATTGTATTATTAAATTTTTTTAATTATTAATTTTTTTTGATAGGGCAAACCAAAATATTTTCAACCTGGGCCATTTGAAAAATTCTTTAGCCTTTAGCCACTTATGAGTCTAAAAATTCAGTTATAACGATCTTCAGAAAATGTCTTCAAAAGTCTTACATTTTACTTGGTGAAACCTGAAAGACCCTGGTTAAAAGTATGTCAAAAATGTTAATTTCTCTTTGTTTACCAAATAGTGTATTGTGGCAAAAATTGTAAAAAGAGAGCAATTGCACTCTGGATAATTGTTTCTTTGGTGTTTTAGTCGCTGGTCAAATCAGTAAAATTGGGTTTGACCTATTTAGTTGTTTAAATAATTTTTTATCACAAAAGGAGCTCTGTATTTAGAAAATGGAGCTCATCAATACTTTAATCAGATCTTAAAACACACAGACATAAAGAATCAGCTTATGCCTCTCAACTATGGTGAGTTTTTTTCCTACAGTGCATGCTGGGAACTATTTATGATTGTTTTATGATTGTCTTAACATGCTCTGCAGCTAAACAAAAAAACATCTCTAACCACTGTTGAGATAGATACGCAGATTATGGATGTCTGTGTCTCTAAAGTGATTCAGATACTCAATGTGTTTTAATATAACACCACAGCTAAGGTCCACTCTCTTGAAAAACACTGAATTTGGTTTCTGATATGATAAACCATCAATTATACATAACTTGGACAGTAAAACATAATCTCTTATTGTTTTTTTCAAGAGTAAGAATCAATACAAGGTCAGTCAACCTGATTATATTTGCTCACTATACACTTGTCATGGCAAGCAAAGAAAATGAACATTAAATTTCATCAAAGAGCCCAAGTAAATCAACCACTTTTTTCACAATGGTGACATCAAGGGGAAAAAAAGATGTTTTTTTTTTTTTGTAAAAATGTAAATAACTAAAACAGTTCATTCTCAATAGATCTCATATGGACTTCTGTTTCTGCTTATTAACAGCAGGTGTTCATCATCAGTGCTCAATCAACACTTAATTAACCCCATCATTGTCTCATAAACTTTAACTCTGCTGCTGAGTAAATTTTTCTCTATTTAGAGAGGGAGCAAATGTTCTCTGAACTGAGTAAATTTTACTCTGAGGATTTTGCTGTGAATTAATAAATCGGTTGATGGAAAGTCATGATGCACATAACTTTTGAAATAAAAGCATAAAAACATGCGCATAACTGAGTAGGATAAACTTTTTATTCAATAAAAAAAAAACCTACCTAAACTACTCAAGCCCTTTTGCTGAACAAATTCCAGTATGAACATTAAAAAAAGGTTTTTTTTTCTTATCTTATGATAGGGCAGCTCGATTATGGGAAAAATTCTAATCACGATTATTTTGGTCATTATTGTAATCACGATTATTCAAAACAATTATCAGTTGAAGTCAAAATTATTCACCCTTCTGAACAATTTATTTATTTTTTTTTTTGTATAAAAATATTTCCCAAATGATGTTTAACAAATTCAGGTATTTTTCACAGTATTTCCTATAATATTTTTTCTTCTGGAGAAAGGCTTATTTGTTTTATTTCAGCTAGAATAAAAGCAGTTTTTAATATTTAGAAACCTATTTTAAAGTCAATATTATTAGCCTCCTTAAGCAATATATATTTTTGATTGTCTGCAGAAGAAACAACTGTTATACAATGACTTGCCTAAATACCCTAATTAAGCCTTTGAATGTCACTCCAAGCTGAATGCTAGTATCTTGAAAAAATATCTAGTAAAATAAAAAGTACTGTCTTCATAGGAAAGATAAAAGGAATCTGTTATAAGAGATGAGTTATTAAATCTAATATGCTTAAAAATGGGTTGAAAATAAATCTTTCCATTAAACAGAAATTGGGGGGAAAGGGTCATTAATAATTGAGAAGGGCTAATAATTCTGACTTTAACTGTATACAATGCACAGTTATTTTCCTATTTGTAAATGAGGAAAGGAAAATGAATACAATAGAATAAAAATATGAAATAATCTTTAAGCATCTTCACTGTAAGAAAAAAAACTTCAGCTACAAAAGTCCTGCAGTCAAGAGCAGTGAGGGATTTTCTCAGGCGGCAGCAGGAATATCGCACGCTGTCACTTTAAGAATAGTGCTGCTCTGATATGGTTTCTCTTTCGCGTGTCTTTTGATTCTCAGCTTGTTTGTTTATTACACAAATGAGGGTTAATATGAATATTCACTAAACACAGCACACTGACCCAAATGTGCATGTATTTGACCATTAAAGCCCTCACATTAAGATGGCGTTAGATGTGTGTGCTCTGCTCGTCTTTGAGGCTAAGCGCGTACACACAGAAGTCTCGTTTGTGCTTTTTTAAAACATGAATGATTCGAATGTACATGAATAAATGATGTGCATCCTATGCTGCAAAGGTTACATTACAGCACATGCTTTTAGTCATTTTCACGTGGAACTGAGCTTTGCAGAGCAACAAATGTGTACAACTGGAAAGGGGGCTGTATATGATGCAATAATCATTTATCTCGATTAATGTATTTTTATAATCATAGTAAGCTAAAATTGAAATTGGATTTTTGATTAATTGCCTATCATATGATAATGAAAATGAGTGTGAATGGACATCCTTGATTCATTGGATAGAAACGCTGATTTATTTACATATTTTTTATGCAATATTCCAGTTTTGCAAATAAATCACACAAAGAAGTCATGTTTGAGAATGGCTTGTCCTTCTTTAATGAATAATGAGCTTTAATTCACAGACCTTCGACAGGGACATGTACTGTAACTAGATTAATGGGATCATTACTCGTTCTAAAAACTATATTTAGCACTGCTTACATTCTTATTATTCAAATATTTTA